CCGTATACATAGGCCTTTTCTTCTAGAACCTCACCCAGGGCCAGTTGTGGGTTAGTCAGGAACCAGTTAGGAGACAAAAATACACACCTAGTATCTCAAGAAAGGGAATTGAAAGCATGTTTACTTGGGGTTTGAGGGCTGAAAGTGCAAAAGGGACACTGAAGTAACAGAGTTGGTGAAGGCAGAAGCTATAACCCCCAGAGCAGGGGGTGGGGGGGGGGCAAAAATAAAGACATTGGGGTGGCCAGGAGTCTAGTAGTGAGCCTGGGAGCATGGAAGGCCTAGGGCTCCAGACTCCAAGGAGGGGCTGCTGCAGTGCATCACAGAAGTAGGAAGCCATATTATCTGCTAAGAACGGGGCAAGAGGAAGTGTCTTTGGTATCATCTTCCAGGTCACTCATTCTGTCTTCAGGGGCATCGATTTGCTGTTGAGTTCATCAGATGAGATTTTTATTTCAATGACCAGGCTTGTGTATATGCTGCTTTTCAAATCTCCCTGGACTTCTAAACTAACTTTTCTCTTTTGTATCCCTTTCTTTCTACCCTCAGGTGGTTGTATCAGAGAGACTATTAGAGATCTGAGGAGTCAGTAGCTTGACATCACAATAATGCAAACATCTATGAGAACTGCTCTGTGATCTGCTGAGAATTCTAAGCTGGTCAGTCTGTGCTTGCAGAGTTCACCCGATTAGGCCAGAGAGGAGAACAGTGGTTCTCATTTTACCCTACTCTGTTTTTCGTGTGATGACCCGAGGCCTGTGAGATACTGAGCCAGACTTACCTCCGACTCCTTCCTTCCACATGCACCACAATCCACACACCACACACCACGGGGAATCTCAGAGGGCAGGAGCGGGAGTGAGTGCAGCAAATCCAAGAAAGGGCTCAGGCTCTGGAGCCCAACTTCATGAGTCACATTTCCCTCCTGTTCTTGTCTGAAAATGGGGGTAACACTGGCACCGACATCCTAGGGCTGCTGTAAGGAGGGGGTGGATGCTCCCAGCCATTGCTGACAATGATGTGATTGGGGCTCTTCGATGATTCCACCCCAGAACTGTGACAGGTCCAGCCTGACAGGTCCAGCCTTGCTCTTTGACCTGGCCACTGATTCTCCATGATGGTGGCCAGTGCTGTCATTGTGAGGCTGTGGGCCCCACTTCAGCTTTACCTCCAAAAGTCCTGTGGCAGAATCCTGGGGTGATGTGTCCCCTCTAGGGAAGGTAAGTTGTCTCTGCCAGGATCCCAGCAGTATGACTGCACCAGGGAGGTGAGGTGATCTATCAGCCGGGGCTCACAGAGACCTGAGCCCTTTCCCCGCGCCTGTGGGCAAGCAGGCCATGCTAAAGGGTGCTCAAGGCACCTGCTGGGAGGCGGGCAGATTCCTCCTCGCCTGCTCACACAGACCCAGGCTGATATGGACCTGCTATCCCTGAGCTCCCTGTGCTGAGGGAGGGCTCACGCCATCTTTCCTTTATCCCAGAGGTAACCCTGCAAAAACACTGGATTGAGCTGAGGGGCTCCGTTCGGCACACTCACCACCTGAAGGCACAAAGACTCCTGTCCCAGAGGCCATCAAGACCAAGCACAGCAAGCTGCCACTGCACGGGCCCAGCCTCAGGTCCTGCTTAGGCCTGTTTTTTCTTTGTTTGCTGGTTTCTTTGTTATTTTTTTCTCTGTATTTAGAGACGGGGTCTCACCTTGTTGCCCAGGCTGGTCTCCAGCGATCCTTCCGCCTCGGCCTCGCAAAATGCTGGGATTACAGGTATGACCCACTGAGCCCCGACCCCTCTGCGTTTTCATTTGCCCTTTGTTTCTACCCAGGGACCGCCCTCACTCACCTGTGGCCCAAGTATGCTTGAAATGACACAACTACAAGTTGTATCATTGCTCCTTTCCTTGCCTTCTCCCAAACTCCACTACGGATGCATGGAGGACAGGCAATGGGGTCTGACAGGTGCGAGGCTCATCCCAGCCTAGTCAGCACTGGCTCATGTAACCTAGACCACAGGCTATAGCCGGACAGGGCTGGTGGGGTGACCTGCCCAGCTTGGGTCAATCAGGAATTTGTAACAGGCACTCAGAAATCCCACCTACAGTTGTGCAAGGTGGCTCACGCCTGTAATCCCAAGACTTTGGGAGGCCAAGGTGGGCAGATCACGAGGTCAGGAGTTGGAGACCAGCCTGGCCAACGTGGTGAAACCCCGTCTCTACTAAAAATACAAAAAATTAGCTGGGCATGGTGGCGCATGCCTGTAATCTCAGCTACTCGGGGGGCTGAGGCAGGAGAATTGCTTGAACCCCGGAGGCAGAGGTTGCAATGAGCCAAGATCACACCACTGTACTCCAGCCTGGGACCACAGAGCAAGACTCCTCTGTCTCGGAAAAAAAGAAAAACAAAAAAGAAATTCCACCTACAGTCTCCTCACTCTCTAGTGGGTGTTAAAATGAACTTTCCGTAGCCACTTTGGGCAGAGGGAGGATACAGTCTAATCCTGCATGCCCTAGAAGGTCATGCAGGCTGTTCTCTGCACAAGGACACCTTCCTGGGGAGTGAGAGGGCTGAAATCCCTCCCGTGTCCTCGCCTCCAGCTGACTACCTGCCTGGAGAGTGGAGTGCCTCTTGCTGATCCGCACACAAGCCTGCAGGGGCGGGTGGGGGCCCTGGAGCCCAGACAGGCACCAAGCAATCTTGCAGCCCTACACGGTGAGGACAGGGGAACTGGCGGAGTTCCACCTGTTGGCTCCTCTCCCTCCTGACCTTCCCATGGGAATCCTTCCATGAACCGTTGGCACAAAGAAATTGAAGTGGGTTTCTCCATTGCTACCCTCACCATCTAGGACTCCACTGTCCTTTTTTTTCTGAGACGGAGTTTGGCTCTTGTTGCCCAGGCTGGAGTGCAATGCCGCTATCTCGGCCCACGTAAAGGGCATGGTGGCGTGTACCTTTAGTCCCAGCTACTCGGTAGGCTGAGGTGGGAGAACTGCTTAAACCCAGGAGGTGAATGTTGCAGTGAGCCGAGATTGTGCCACTGCACTCTAGCCTGGGTGACAGAGTGAGACTCTATCTCAAAAACAAAGAAGTTGAAATTATAAAAAAGCTTAAAAAAAATCACTACAAAATGTGTAGCACAATGGTTTTTTTTTTTTTTTTTTTTTTTTGAGACGGAGTCTCACTGTGTCACCCAGGCTAGAGTGCAGTGGTGCAATCTCGGCTTGCTGCAACCTCCGCCTCCTGGGTTCAAGTGATTCTTCTACCTCAGCCTCCCGAGTAGCTGGGACGACAGGCACATGCCACCACACCCAGCTAATTTTTGTATTTTTAGTAGAAACGAGGTTTCACCATATTGGCCAGTTTGGTCTCGAACTCCTGACCTCGTGATCCACCCGCCTCAGCCTCAGAAAGCGCTGGGATTACAGGCGTGAGACACCGCGCCCGGCCAGATTATGGGCCTTAAATTGTTTAACTATGTGGGTGATTGCACAGAAGAATAGTATAAATAACTTTATACATGGGATAACTTGCTTCAAGTTGTTTCAAAAACCGTTTTTTTGTTTTTGTTTTTGTTTTTGAGACAGAATCTTGCTCTATCACCCAGGCTGGAGTGCCATGGTGCCATCCTGGCTCAGTGCAACCTCTGCCTCCTGGGTTCAAGCGATTCTCCTGCCTCAGCCTTGTGAGTAGTTGGGATTATAGGCGAGGGCACCACCACGCCGACTAATTGTGTTATTTTATTAGAGACGGGGTTGCACTATGTTGGTCAGGCTGGTCTCGAACTCCTGACCTCAAACGATCCACCAGCCTCGGCCTCCCAAAGTGCTGGGATCACAGGTGTGAGCCACCGCGTCCGGCCTCAAAAACCTCTCAATGATTCGCTTGAATATGTGTAAAGTGATGCACAGGCCACCCTGAAGACTCTGGTGGTTTCTACTGAAACTACACATCAGGCCAGGTGCGGTGGCCAGTGCCCAGTGCCCAGAATCCCAGCAAATCCCAGCACTTTGGGAGGCTGAGGTGGATCACCTGAGCCCAGGAATCCCAGACCAGCCTGAGCGACAAAGCGAGACCCATCTCTACAAAAAGTAAAAAATTAGGTGGACGTGGTGGTGGCGTGCGCCTGTAGTCCCAGCTACATGGAAGGCTGAGGCCGGAGGCTGAAGCCCTCGCTAGGGTGGAGAGGTCAAGGCTGTAGATGAGCCCTCATCGCGCCACTGCACTCCAGACTGGGCGACAGAGTGAGACCCTGCCTCAAAAAAAAAAAAAAAGAAGAAAGAAGAAGGAAGAAGGAAGAAGGAAGGAAGGAAGAAGGAAGGAAAGAGAGAAGAAGAAGAAGAAGAAGAGAAGAAGAAGAAGAAGAAGAAGAAGAAGAAGGAGGAAGAAGGAAGAAGGAAGAAAGAAGAAAGAAGAAAGAAGAAAGAAGAAAGAAGACAACATTACAAATAAAGCTATACATCCACTTCTGCACTTCTGCGTGGACTCGAGCGTTCAAGACAGGCGTGGCAACCCGATGACAGGAAACCCTGTAAGTTCGTGCTCCCAGGAGGCTCTTCCGTAAGGGCCACCAGCCACGGGAAACCACGACCTTGTCCCTCACCAGGAAAAGCTCAGCCTGTGGCTCCGCGAGCGTGGACCGTTCCGTGGCCATGAGCGAGAAGAACCACGGACCCCCGCCAAGAGCTGGGATGGATCTCACGGGCGGGAGGCGGAGGGTACTCGGCCCACCCCAGCGGAGGGCAGCGTGTGGGTCCGTTGAGATAACGCTCCGCGGACTCGATGACTCCTGGAGCAGAGCCCTGGCCGCGCTGCACCGCGGGAGGGAGGAGCTGCGTCTACTGCGGGGCCATGAGAGGGAGGAGCCGGTCTGGGGATGGGGGCGGGGGGGCAGAGACTGGAACCCGCGCAAGCGCGGAAATGCCCACGGCCGCGCCCTCCCGCGCGAACCGCGGCGACACCCGGGCCGCCCTCGGAGGGCACGGATGTCGCGCCGCGCTCCCGGGGTGCTTCAGTTGCGCCCACGGCCGACGCCCGGCAGCGGCGGGCAGGTGCCACGACCTCTGGACGTTTCTCGCCCCTTCTCGGGAATGGAACGCTTAGAGAAGCGCAGGTCCGCACCCAAAACACAAGGCGGCACTGTTGCGTGTGCACCGACGACTCTGCGGCCAGCGCCCCGGCTCTCTTCCCGGGAACGCTTAGGAGCCAGAGAGCGCCGCGCCGCGCCACGCCACGCCCGGCAGGGCCGCAGCAGCGCGCACGCGACAGGGTGTCGTCCATTGGGCAGCAGGAGCGTCCGCCAAGGGCGAGGGGCGGGAATTCCGTGCAATCTGAGCACGGTCATTGGCGAGGACAGGCGAAGAGGAGGCTGGATAGGCGGGTCGGGGCGGAGCTTCCTGTGGGCGCCTGGAGCCTCCGGGGAGCGACCGAGGCGGAGGTGGGGAGCGAGGCAGCTGTGGGCTCCGGCGGGCAGAGACTAGGTCTGTCCCTCCACGCCCCGCCCCGCCCCGTCCCGCCCCGCCCCACCCCGCCGCCGCCGCCGCCGCCGCCGCCTCGGCATCGCCTTCCGAGCCTCCCAGTCCTGGGCCGGCCCTGCGGGGCATGCGCCGAGTCCCCTTCCCGTGCAGACCGGCGGTCACTGTCCTCCCCCGGGGACGAGGCGGACAGGCGTCCCCCGAGATCAGGGCCCGGGAAGCCCCGTGAGCCGCTCTCGCCTGGGCGCCGTCGAGGGGCCGCCCCGCCCTTCCCACTCCACTGTGCTCCGAAAGTGCTTCGGGGCGCGTCTGGGGAGTCGTGGGGAAGCAGGGCCGTCCCCACCCGTCCACCCGGCAGCGTCCAGGGATAGGTGGGCAGAGCGGGCGGGCGGGCGGGCGGGCGTCCTGGGGGAAGCGGCGTCTGGAGGTGTCTGTGCAGCGTTCCGCGGTGGCGCGCGGTGGGGGTAACAAAGTCTTGCCCGTCCCTTGACAGCGGTGGCCGCCGGGGAGGGAATCCTGCTCTGCTGCGGGCGGTCGTGGGCTGGGGCGCTTCCTGGCCTGTCTCCTGGGGGAGGTAGGAAAGGTGAGCCCCGCAGAGAAGACGGTGGTGGCCAACAGGAGCCATCCCTCGACGTGGGTGCCAACAGGAGCCATCCCTTCAACCGGTCTTCCCGCGGGAGGGTGCCTGGCTGGGAACACCCGCAGGGCTGGTTCCAGCACCCATGGGACCGCTGGGTCCAGCCCAGTGTGTGTCCGGGGAAGACCCGCCTTACCCGCCAACCTTCCCGCACCGGGAGGGTTCCCAGCTGCTGGTGATGCTGCTCAGGCGGCTCCCCACAGCGCCACCACCCACCCCCGGAGCCGGCCGCTGGGTTTGACCCGTCCGCCCGGGTTCCTCTTTGCTGGGCTCCGAGGCCTGGCGGGACTTCCAGTCTCCTCGGTGGCTCTGGCGACCCAGCATCCCTTTGCCCTGGGGTCAGACGGACTCCCAAGGAATTGCGTCCCGGTGGAGAAGACGCTTCCTTCCCTCTCCCTTCCTCTCCTCCGCCCCCTTTTGCTCTCTTGTCCTTGCACTTTGCCTTGTCCGTGTGTCCAGCTCTGTGTGTGTGTGTGTGTGTGACTGACGCGAGCCCTTAGTCACCTCTTGCTACTATTTTTTCCCCATGTTATCACTTGTCTCTTGACTGTGCGGTTTGCGGGTTGTGCTTGGTCACACAGGGGATTTCAGTTTTCGTGTCATCAGAATCTCCAGGCTTTCCTGATGGCTTCTGGGGGTTCTTGTCGGTTTGTTTCCTTCTGGCTCACGCTGTGTCTTGCCCCCTGGACGCTGAGCACCAGTTCCGACTGCTGGGTAACAGACGACTCCACGTTTCGGTCCTTCCCCACCTAGCGCTCCTCTCACCCCCCAGGGTTCTGAGGGACAGGCTCTGGGAGGGCTCTCGGGGAGCCAGGACTGTGGCTCAGGGTCCCTCTCAGGCTGCGGTCAGGTGTCCACTGGGGCCCAGTCATCCTATCTGACTGGGTGGGGAGCCCTCGTGATGATTCTCCCTCTGGAGGCTGCGGCAGGAGACCTCAGTTGCTCCCCACCTGGCCTTCTCCCAGGACTGCTCGGCTTTCCCCGGACCTGCAATCCAATCGAACCAGCAGGAGAGGGCGCCCTAGACCTGGCCACACACTCTTTATGACCTGGCCTCCTAAGTGACTCGCCTCACCTCCGCTGTGGTTTTTATTGGTCTCACAGGTCCACCCTGGAACGTGCTGGAGAGGGCGCCACGCTCAGGGTGGAGGCTGTTCCTGAGTGCTGCAAGTCAGAAGCGCCCTTGGCGCCTGTAGAGCTGTGTGGGCTGCTGGAGACCCCAAGCGGGCCGCCTCAGGAACGTGTCCTTGGTGTCAGCGGGAGCAGCAGGCCACCTCCTGGGGCTGACACTGGCCGAGGTCTGCATTTCTGAGGGCGGGGCGTGCTTTGACATCCTGAAAGGGTTGCAAAACCCATCACAGAGAACCCCAAGAAGGGAGACTCTGCCCCCAAGACCCAGTGTGCCCCGCAGGGTCTGTGCTGTGTGCTCGCTGGCTCTTCATGGAAGCCTTTCCCAGCCCGGGTCGGGGACCCCTGGTCCAACATCCCCAGGAGCCGGCGGGAAGCCCGTTCTGGTCACCACAGCCCCTTTTGCATGGCATGAGTGCCCCATGCCAGCCTGCATGGCATGTGCCTCCCACTTCCAATGCCCTCCTCCCAGGGGCTCATTCCTGCCCCAAGTGGGGTGACCTCTCTCTGCAGACAGGGGAGGCCTGTCCTCCCGGCATGCAGCCCTGAAAGGAGAGGGGCCGGGGCAGGGAGGGGGTGTGCCGCGCCATCGTGGTGAAGGCAGAGCAGCTCCTTTGTTCCGTGATGTGTCAGGTTGCCGGATACTGGGCTCCAGGCTCCAGGGGCAGTCCCTGGCCTGGGGGGTGGGATGTGGAGTGCCAGGTGGGTCCCGGAAGGAGCTTTCCACTGGGGCCCCAGGAGGTTGCCCCATCCTTCCCACTGGGACTGGCAGGTGACTTCCTGATGACGCTCTCCGTGGCTCTGAATTTGTCACAGAGGTTCCGTGGGCGATGAGTGCTTTTCCTGTTGGCCGGTGCCGCCTCTGGGCAATGCAGGGACCCTTGATGACAGCTCCTGACCCCTTCCAAAGCCGCCTGGCCCTCCTTGAACCCGACGAGAGCAGGTTGCCGGGCCTTCCCTGAGGAATGTGTTCCTGGCAGGTGGGGACAGCCCCTCCCCCAGGGTGTTGGGTACAGGATCCTGGGGTGCCTCAGGACACGGTCAGGCCCACTGAACCCCCACACTCCTGGGCCACCTGCCCGCTGGCTGTCCTCTGTGACCCTGTCTCCCCTGAGCCAAGGTGCCCGGCCTGGTCCCCCGGGAAGAACAGTGAGGAGGTCTGGCTCTCCCTGCCATGGGGGCCTCGGGGGCCTGGACGGGGACGGTGTCCTCCCTCCCCAGGCTGCCCAGCGCCCTCGCTCAGGGAGTGCTCTCCTAGCGGCCTGTTCGGCAGACGGGCACAGTCACGACAGCAGCCAGACCCTGTCCCGGCCCATGCACCCACCTGGACAGATCGGCGCCCTCCTAGACTTACTGGCTCCATTGAGGGTCCCAAAGGGGCTGCCCCAGAGCACCCTGGGGTCTCCAGACCCCTCGGCCCACAGCAGCTACCAGCAGCCCAGGCAGGACCCAGGGGCTTCCGGGCACAGAGGCGCCGCTCCCTGGCTTGTGAGCCTGGGGCCTCTCCAGCCGTCCCCTGTCGGGGGGGCCTCCACTCCTGCTCTGGATCAAGGTCCTGCCCTCAGGGAGAGCTGGTGCCTTCGGGGGACCGGGCCCTGGTTGCAGTTGGAGAGTGCATCCAGGGATGGTGCTCTTCTTGGCTGCCGCCCTGCCTCCCAGGGGCCTCCCCAGACACCCGGCTGCTGTCAGCTGGGGCTGGGGGGTCCTCTGGCCTAGGGGTCATCCCAGTTTGGGAGTGCCCTTCCCTGGACACTGTGTCCAAGAAGGATACATGCTCGCCCTTTGTTGGGGGCCAGGCACAGGGTGAGGGGACACTCGGCCCCACCACCCCTGTCTCCGGGAGCCCTGGCTGGGTACGGTGCCTCTTCTGAGAGATCCTGCCCGGGACTGGTGCCGCCTGCCTCCCGCACAGTTGGGGACCCTGGCCGGGCACCTCCTGCCAGCCCCCTGCTTCTGTCCTAGCCTCAGCCGGGCCCTGCAAGCTGTCCATGTGCCTGTGACACCCGGTCCCTCTGCGGATGTTTGCAAACACCCCTGCCCCCACAGTGATGTCTGGGGGCCTCTCTGGGCCTTTGTGTGCCGAGTTGAGGGTGGGTGGTGGTGGGGGGGTCTTTCCATAGTTGCCTACTTCCTGTCCTCCTCGGCCCCAGGTCCAGGGGTGCCCTGCCTGCTCAGTTTCCAGCCTGAGCCCTTCCTTGAGCTGGCCCAGTCCCCTAAGCTTCTGCAGCAGGTTCCCAGATCCACCCGAGGGACTCCTGGCCAGTGTTCCCAGTGGTGTCTGAGTGCTAGACTCAGTCCCTGGCCATAGATTTCGGGGAACCCCGCTCTGAGGGGCCATTGCTTCTGTTTCCTCTCCAGGTCCCCTCCCAGTTGCCTCGGAGAGCGAGGATGGGGCTGTCGGGAGGCAGAAGGGAGGGTTGGGGTGCAGAGGTGTGGCTTAGGGGAGGGAAAGTCAACTGGGCTACCGCCCCTCCCTGCCCTCCCTGGACTCAGTCCAGACATAACCTGCGGGTTGGAGGCCTGTGCACCCTTTATCTCCTAGTAGCCTGGCAGGTCCTCCTGGGTCTTCCTCAGTGTGGCTGGGTCCCCAGACCATAGGCCCCAGCAGGGTAGGGGCCCGTGCTCTGCTCTTGTTTTTGCTCCTACTTGCCCGCCCTTCCCGGGGAGGCCGCTGGCCACGACCATGCCAATCTCTTTCCCTGCTGCCTGCCTGCCTGGGTGGCCTCCAGCTCACCGCCCTGTGAGGCCTGTGGCCTCCCGCCAGGGCTGTCCTCAGGGGCCTGGATCCCCCTAGTTTATCTACCGCCCTTGCTGCCCCACATGTGTCCCTGCAGCCTGGGGATGATCCGGAGGGTTGGGGGATCGGTGCCCTTGGTTCACCCAGCCCAGCCCTAGGGCGGTTACCCCGGTGGCCCTGCCAGGCATGGGGCTTGGGAGAGGATACGATGGAGCCGGCACAGGGAGGGGGCAGGAGACTCTGGGTGACTCGGGGCAGGAGGGGGTGCCCCAGAGGTTCAGAATCCTGGGCACACAGTGGGCTGAGCGGACAAGTCGCAGCCTCAGGGGGACCTCCCGTCCTCCCCACTGGCACTGGATCTTTCTGGGCCTGGCTCTGCTGCCTCCCACCCCCATTCAGCTGGTGGCTTCTAGATGCTTCCAGAGTGTGCTTGGCCCCTTTGCCTCTATGCCATTGGGCCCAGGGGGAGCAGTAGAGTGGCTGGGGCTGGGGGTGGGACTTCCCCTTTCTGTGTCTTGCTTGCCCCGTGTCTCTCAGTGAGTGGCCGCCCTGAGCCTGGGGCCAGCAGCTCAGCCCCAAGTGGAAGTCAGGCAGGGCTCCTCTGCCGTTTTCCTTTCCTTTATGCCATCAGAGTCAGGAGTGGCCTATCCTCATGAAGCCACAGGTTCTACACCTCTTGCACTCTCTTCTTGAAAGTGGTAGCGGCCCAACAGACACTCTTCCTACCTCCACCGCAGCTGAGGGTCAAGGCAAGGGTCCTTCTTGGCCGGCCTTGGCGCTGTCACCTTTTGGACCTGTCTGGGGTCGAGGTCAAAGGCCTTACCAGGACCACGGGTTCTGGGCCCTGGCCCTGCATTTCCTCTCCACCGTCTCCTTCTCCACTGGCCACCTCGACACCCTCCCAGCCCCCTCTGTTGGTTCTCCTCCCTGGTCTGGCAGGGCCTGGGGGCAGCGGAGGAAAAAAGTCCAGTATCTTCTTGGACAGTCCCCAGAGTGGCCTCTTGCTGGGACCTTGGGCAGCTGCTGCCCCCTGCTGTGTGTCTGAGTACTGCTGGAACCCTGCGGGGGACCCCAGATTATTTGGGGGCTTTTGAAAGCGGGGCCACAGTGGTCTCTCAGAGCTCTGGAGAACATTTAAGTGGAGGCCTGGAGGCTCTTGAGGCCCATGGAACCTTCCTAATCCTTCTGGTTCCAGTTGGGGCACCCAGTGCACTTGGGTGTGTCCAGAGTAGTTGGAATCCCTCATGGGGTTCAAAGCCCTGGGGGTTGGACAGATCACAGGATGAGCTTGGCAGAGCTCTGAGGAGCCCTGGAACAGGGAGGGAGTACTCCAAGGCCCACGGAGCCCTGGGGATTGGTGACCAAGCCCAAGTGGGAGGCCTCAGGAATCCAGGGGGAGCTCAGGGAGGTGGTGGGAGCAGAGCCCTGGGGAAGGCTGTGGGCCCTCAGGAGCAGGGAGTCTCTGAGCCCTGGGGTAGGAGTCTTGCAGCCCTTGTCATTCCCTGGGGAAATGGGGTGGGGACTCCGGGAGCCCTCTTCCATCCAGTCTTGGGAGCTCTTTTGGAATGAATGAAAAGGGGCAAGCTACGTTGGGGGTGGCCGCTGTTCCTTCCTTCCCTCTCTTCCCTCACGCCAGACACCACAGGGGTTGCCAAGTACACCCGGCTGCCTCCTCTTTACTCCTCACCTGTAACAGATCCAGGACCTGACCTAAGGCCTAGAAAGCACCATTTCGTCCAGATACCTGGATATCTCTTTTCCCTCCTTGGGATGCCCCAAGCCCAGCTCCACATCCCCCATCTCCCTGACACCGGCTATTACTCCAGAGCTTTGGGATGTCAACCTTGCCTCCACCCCAGGTCCCATATAGGTTCCTGCTAGGCCCCATCTGCCTCTGTCCAGCCACAATCCGAAGTAGTGAGTGCTTCCTGGGGGAACTGGACTTCGGTGAGTTCAGTTCTTCCTGTCAGTGTACTTGGTTTTTATCAGCTGCTGAAACAGGAGGCTGTCACTGCATCCTTCTAGGGTCCTGGTAGTAGCAACCTGTTTGTTCTGCCCCCCACGTACAGGCTTATTAATGGGACCATTGGGTCCCTAAGGTGGACCTGTGAGGAGGTGGCATCCCCTGCGCATGCCTACCACCTGCCATGGACCATCCAGGTCTCGCCTGCTGCAGGGCCAGCCATCAGTCTGTTGCATTGGGCTTGGGATGGTGAGGGGCAGAGGGCAAGGGCTTGGGGAGTCCACACAGCAAGTGGCTGGGCTCTGGGAGTGAGCTAGGTAAGAGGAGCTTATAACAAACAAGAAAGGCTGAAACTGAGTGGTAAGAAAATTAGAAGTGCTTCGCTCTTTTCTGCATGTTTTCAACACACAAGGACCATGCACTATTTTAGGACCAAAAATATACATGAGGAGAGACTAGGATGCAGCCAAGATAAATGGTCAAGAGTAGCCAGGGAGGGTCCCAGCCCCAGCCCTGCCTCCACGGGTGCATGTGCAGGCACTGCATGGGAGCTGTGCCAAGTGTGGGAGGCTGGCTTGTCCCACTACCTGCAGCAAGGAGCCAAAGGCAAGGGGGACTAATGCCAGCACCCCACCCCTTGCTGGGCCTGTTTCCCACCTGCCCGTGTGCAGTGGATGGCAGCCCCTCTGTGCTTTCCCGCCCTCTGCCGGCAGCATAGAGCCAGGCGTGCCCAGCAACATGTGGCATTGTCTTGGGTTGTTTTTTTTTTAATTATTATTTTTTTTTTTTTTTGAGACGGAGTCTCGCTGTGTCGCCCAGGCTGGAGTGCAGTGGTGCGATCTAAGCTCACTGCAACCTCCGCCTCCCGGGTTCAAGCGATTCTCCTGTCCCAGCCTCCTGAGTAGCTGTGATTACAGGCATGCACCACCACACCCAGCTAATTTTTTGTATTTTTATTGGAGATGGGGTTTCACCATGTTGGCCAGGATGGTCCCGATCTCTTTACCTTGTGATCTGCCTGCCATGGCCTCCCAAAGTGCTGGGATTACAGGCATGAGCCACCATGCCTGGCCTGTCTTGGGCTTTAGTACCCACTTTCCACTTAAAAAAATATATGTAGACCAGGCACAGTGGCTCACACATGTAATCCCAGCACTTTGGGAGGTTGAGGTGGGTGGACCACGAGGTCAGGAGATCGAGACCATCTTGGCCAACCTGGTGAAACCCCGTCTCTACTAAAATACAAAGCATTAGCCGTGCATGGTGGTGCACACCTGTAGTCCCAGCTACTCGGGAGGCCGAGGGAGGGGAATCCCTTGGACTCAGGAGGCAGAGGTTGCGGTGAGCTGAGATTGTGCCACTGCACTCCAGCCTGGCAACAGCAAGACTGCATCTCAAAAAAATAAATAAAATAATATATATATGTATATACAGGTATATATCTATGTATATGTATGCATATATATGTATATATGTGTGTATATAATATAAACTTTGAGCACAGTGGCTGACACCTGTAATCCCAGCACTTTGGGGGGCCAAGATGGGTGGATCACCTGAGATCAGGAGTTTGAGACCAGCCTGACCAATATGGTGAAACCCCATCTCTACTAAAAATACAAAAATTAGCCAGGTATGGTGGCGTGTGACTGTAGTCCCAGCTACTAGGGAGGCTGAGACAGAATTGCTTGAACCCAGGAGGCAGAGGTTGCAGTGAGCCAAGATGGCGTCATTGCACTCCAGCCTGGGTGACAGAGTGACTCCGTCTCAAAAAAAAAAAATTATATATATGTATATATAGAAGATTATGAAATACATACCCAGGGCAGAAAACCTGGGAGCTAAGTGAGAATATAGGCAGGTGAATTCCATCACCCAGGGATGATGGGGCATTTCAGCCTTTGGAGCTTTTCTCCCATGTTAAACAAGCAGCAGTTCCAGGAGCTGAGAATGATGTGCCAGAGATGCTTCATTTTTTTTCCGTCCCCATGCCCTTGGACACTGGGGTGGACTTCAGCTTTTTCCAGTTAAAACACCCGCAGACTGCTGGTAGCATGCATGCAGCTTTGCCTGAATTTTTTTTTTTTTTTTTTTGAGACGGAGTCTTGCTCTGTCACCCAGGCTGGAGTGCAGTGGTGCGATCTCGGCTCACTGCAAGCTCCGCCTCCCGGGTTCCCGCCATTCTCCTGCCTCAGCCTCCCGAGTAGCTGGGACTACAGGCGCCCACCACCTTGCCTGGCTACTTTTTTGTATTTTTAGTAGAGACGGGGTTTCACTGTGTTAGCCAGTATGGTCTCAATCTCCTGACCTCGTGATCCGCCCGCCTCGGCCTCCCAAAGTGCTGGGATTACAGGCTTGAGCCACCGCGCCCGGCTGCTTTGCCTGAATTTCTAAGTGGGTTCTCTGTATACGCCTTGTTGTACCACAATTATATGTATAAGCAGTTACAGGTGCTTTGGGGAATGAGTTAGGGAATAAAACTCCCAAACAAAACACAAACATCTCTGGGTAGCATTTGATTCCTATCCCCAGACCAAAGCAAAAATGCGGACCCAACAAAGCCAGATTGCAATCCTCGAGTCCCAAGACGCAGAGGCCCTTGCCATGGGAGCCCAACCCTCTCCTCCAGGAAGAGCCAACGCATTAAAAATAAATGGGGTTTTTATTGTGTGTCCACGAAAACAAAGGGTGGCCTTTGGTTAATCCCCCCCAACAAGATGACAAAAAGGAGGCATGCATGACAACAAGAACCATGTTCTCCTCTGACTGAGCGAGGCCTTGCCCTCCTGGACCCTAAGGGTTACAGGCAAGCAGGGCCAGGAGGCTGCCGAGGAAAGCACACTCAGGCCCCCATGGAGGGCCTGAATCTGCTGCCTCCCTGGTGGGACAAGGCAGGGGGAGCAAGCACTACTCTGGGCTAGGCCCAGCGCCCCCCAAGCAAGAACACATAAAAGCCCCTGCCCCTGCCCCTGCCCCCACACCCACCCCCACCCCCACTGCTAAGGCAGTCAGCCAGGACTTCCCCAGAAGACCTGGCTCTGAAGCCCAGACCCTCATGGCTCCCTCTGGAAAGGGTTGCCTTCCTCAGCCTGCATGAAGTAGTAAATGAAAAAGAGGACGATCACAAAGACCAGGAAAAGCAGCAGCTGGCCCCAGAGTGGGACCTGGTGATCCTGGCCCAGCCCAGCCCCAGGAGCATGGTTTTCAGGCCGGATGGCACGGCGGGTGAGCCATGAAGAGGAAGATGATGAGGAGGACATAGAAGAGGTGGAGGAGGAAGTAGGATAATAGGACAGGTCCAGGGAGCTCCTGGAGGCTGAAACAGGGCGGTAGTGCGCGATGCTCTGGTAGGCACTGTCCCGGCCGTACATGGGGCGTTCCCTGAGGCAAAAGAGGGGAACAGGTGGGCCAGGAGCCTGGGTCCAGAACCAGCCCCTGTCCCTGGCCTTCCCCATACATACATACCTATCCTTGCACTCCTCTTCAGAAGACGACAAAAGGTCGTCATCACGTACCTGTAGAAGAGAGTCAAGGTGAGGGAACTGGCTGGCAGGGCCACAATGGCCCTGCCACGTCCCTCTCAAATTTCCCCAGCAGGTCCCCTCTGACCTTTGGTTAAAGGCCAGGGACCCACACCCTCCTGAATGACTCTGGGTGTTCGGCCTTTTATCCATGGGGCCTTGCTACTTGTGCTCATGCCCCAGCACCCCCCTTTACCCCCAGGACTCTCAGGAAGAGCTGGAGCCTAGATCCCAGACCAGGGTGCAGGACGCATCCTATGTGCTCTAGTCACATAGTTCTGAGGGCTCCCCAAAGTAGGACCCTGACCAAACAGGTGTCTGCTGAGCCAAAGTCTCCCCAGAGGCCCAAGGGCCACCATTTGTACCCAGTGGCCCCCTGGATTTATCCAAACACAGCCGCGATCCCCTAGGTTGTACCCAAGTACAGTACGCCTGCCAACCAGCTCACCTGGTGGTGGAAAGTGTCAGCATCTGGGAGTGAAGTCACAGACTGGCGGAAGCCCCTGGACGGGCCCGCAGACTCGGGCTCCCCATAAGTCCTGGTAGTGAAGTAGCTCTCTTCATAGTAGTCGTCATTGTAGCCTTGGGAAGGGGGGCAGCGGTAGCAGAGGGGGCATCGGTGTGCCCCGCCTGGCCCGATGGCCCTAATCTGAATCCCATTTCGGGACCTGTGACAGTTTCTCCCTCCTAAGGCTGCTGGAGTGGTTGGGACTGAGGTCTCAGGTCCTCCCTGTGAGCGGGGTCCCTGACGCAGTCGGGTGAAGGTGCCAGCGTGCCCACCCAACCCCTGCCTTACCCTTGCTCTGGTAGAGTAAGGCGTCCTCTTTCTTGGGAAGATCATACATATCTGAATCCCCTGACGTCGAATTCAAGTCTGGATTGAAAGGAGGAGACAGAACTGTTTGCCCCCCCACCCCCACCCCCACCCCAAGACTTCCCTCCCCTTTCCCCAGTGCCGCTCTCGACCGGCACCCCTGCCACACCCTCGCTACCTCATCCTCCCCGCGTCCCAGGCCGTCCCCACAGGCGAGGCTCTCACCAGAGAAGCGATAAGAGGAGGCAGCGGACGAGCCGGGGGGCGAGAGCCGCCGCCTCTGGGTCTCATACTCGAAGATCTTCTGCTCGTAAAGCCTACGAGTTGATCCTGGCCGGACACGGGGCGGTCAGGGCCGCGGTCCGGGGAAGGGGCGCGGGGAGGGCAGCGGGGAGGTCGCGGGGCGGAGCACGAGGAGGGGGCCCGGAAGGGGTCCCGCCCGCCGCCGCGTACCTACTACAGGCCCGTGCGGGATGTTGTACCGGCGCAGCAAGGCGGTCAGCTCGGTATTTGAAAGATCTGCGTAGTCGTCCATGGCGGGTGCGGGCTCGGGCGGAGGCCTGGCGGCGGCCCGGGCCTACCAAAACCGGCCGAGCAACGGCTGCCTAGGAGCACGGCGGGGGCGGCACGAGTGCATCGGGAGCGGCCGCACTCGCGTCACAGCCGAATCGCTGTCGCGTCACGGCCGCTGGCTTCGCAGGCTGCGCGCGCTGCGCTGGGCGGGACCTAACGGCGGGAGTAGCCGGCACAGACCGGCCGGGCCTTGAGAGCTGGGAGGCTGGGGCCGCGAGCCCAAACGTCATCAACTCACGGATTGGCTAGCGGCAGAGGGGGCGGGCCCCCGGGAGTCAGGGTGGTGGGAACCGGTCTCGCGGTGGGAGCGGGCGGGGCCGCAAGCCCATATGTCACAAACACGGGAATTGGCTAGTGATGGAGGGGGCGGGGCCCGCGCAGGCGCGGAGCAAAAGGTCTTGCGTTGGGAGCGAGCGGAGCGGAGAGCCCTTACGTCACAAACATGGGGATTGGCTAGCGATGGAGGAGGCGGGGCCCGCGCGGGCGCGGGGCAGAAGGTCTCGCGGTGGGAGCAAGCCGCGCCGCGAGGGGCGCCACACGTCACTAACGCACGGATTGGCTAGCGGCGTAGGCGGCGGGGCCCGCGCGGGAGTCAGGGCAATGCAAACTGGTATCGCAGTGGGAGTAGGCGGGGCTGCGGGCCCAAAAGTCACAAACGCACAGATTGGCTAGCGGCAGGGGGCGGGGCCCGCGCGGGAGTCAGGGCGACACGGCTGGGAGCCAAGACGTCACCCTGTGGCGCGCTTGAGCCAGCCGGGTGAGAGGGATGGGGCCTGCGCGCTAGGGACCCGGGACGTGCGAGCGGGCGAAGTCGGCGCTTGGGGTGGCTCTGGTCCCTAAGTCACT